TGAACACTAATTCAAGGGTTTCTACGGACAAGATAACGCAAGTGGTATTATAGAGTGGCAAATCGAGACTGTGTATTCTGCATTGAGCCTTCCATTGAAATCCGTCTCAGTCACCTGAAATGGTTTATAATACATTGATTTTGCGTACGTACACGAAAAAACTTAGGTAGTGATTCCTTGTGGAGCCGCCTGGGGAGCGTGTGACGCGTACCCCTCAGGCTCACGGGCACCTGATTTTAGTGGAGGGGACGTGCAGGAAATGTCAGGGAACAAATTAGATCGCCATATTCCTGTAAAATAAAATAGCTACGAGGACAAGTTGGGTCGCGTACTCAAACCTCGGGCGGGGACACTGAAATAGGCTTTAATATCATCGCTAATCCCCCCGCCCGACCAACGGCGAGCGCGTGTATGTCGGGGGAATGTGCCCTAACCTTGGGCGAGGTCATTAAGGTGCACTTTCTAGTAGAACCACTAACTCCAACTAGAATAGAAGGCGAACAAGTAAGGGAGGTTGAATATTGTGGAATTCACCCTATTTTAAAGTTGTAAGTAAGCGATTATTCCCGTAATTAATTTGAAACGCCATTTTGCATAATATACTTATTTAAGCGGTTATGGTATGCGGTGACCTTCGGAGGATCCCTCTGCAGTTAAGTGCCATCATTCAATCCCTACTGGGTCGACGGCCAGCGTCTAGAAAACGAGAAGATTGCGTAATTCAACCTACTACATAAGGTCCTTTCGAAGACCCAACATGGAAACCCTACCAATACTTATTACCCCGTTTTTTTCACACTTATATGAGGTCAACAGTTCTTAATGCAGAGAATACGAAACATTCGCGTCTTGCAGTCCTGTTCGGGGAAGTTATATTCTACTGTTGTTTATTATAAGCTAGTTTTGCTCTGAACTGTATGAGCATGGGTTTGAGTTACGGTTGGAATTTACGATAGGATTGAGTTTAAGCTTAGCTGTACTCTTCATTGAATCATGCAGATGGCCACCTTTTAATTCTCGAGTCCTGTTACTTGGGACCTTGCCTTACAGCCTACATCTAAAACTTAACGACCGGCATGCCTTTTGACTGCAAATGTCTACGTTTGCGTTAAAGTATTTGCCACTTTGAATTGCTCCCGAAAGTGCAACTGCAGATGGCTCTTTTAACCCCCGCTATGATCCTTCCTCCTGCCTTTTTGCATTTCTTAGGCAACTTCATCTTCATGCCCTACCTACGAGACTCCAGTGATAGCAAAGTGCTTTTAAAACTACTGGATGAATCTTTCCAAAGTGCCGAATACTCTTTGGTGAGTGAAGTAAAACGCGCTTGTCTCCTTAATATGTTTCAAGATGCCTAACTCCAACTCATTAACATTCATTGCTTCCTTTGTCGAGGTAGTCGTACCACGTCAGCACTTTCCAACTTCAAGAAACTGTATTTTCTCTGAGCTGCTGGACGCGCAGCTTCTATTTAGCGGCATTCCATTAAAGTTAATTAAGAAAACCAGTTGGTAAGCATATGCCCGCTTTCGATAAATTTTTGGCAGGCCAGTGTAGTTGTATGAAAACATGGTACAAGTTTGATGCGTGTGCTCTATAATTTTCGTATTTTCAAATAAATATGTTGTGTGGGCAGTGGTCCATAGAGAGGCTCCTGGAGGGTTCCTATTGATAATAACGACTTACTTGCAAATTTTCAGTAGGTCGAATGTCGGCCTATTCACCTAATGGTGTGTGAATAGGGTTAATAAGAGACCGTGAGTTAGGCTGTTCTGATGGGCTGTTTGAGCCGTTCCACAGTGAAAGGGCGACAGAGGGTGGACAGGAGAACATACAGCTAAGTGACCGTTGGCAATGGTAAGTGTGGAGTTCGCAGAAGACACTTATGTGCGCACAACTCCAGCTTGCCTTTCCTTTTTCGATTACGTTGCTATTTGCAATGAGGAACAAGACAGCTTCCTAGCATTTAACTTTGGTAAGACGTTCACGATGGCTTTTCTGCGCTTCCGTTCACTTTAATTACACTTGTCCACTTTTTCAGTGTTCTTGGTTTCACCAATGCTACTCCTGTTACTACGAACTTTTGAATGTCAAAGCGCAGTACTCTACGCACCCAGCGTTCTGCTCTTGCGTAGGAAATGCACCGTCCTTAAGTTACTCACTAGTGCTAAATAATGTCATCAGTCATTGACTGCGTCCTCGTATTCCGGAAGTAAATGAAACCTCGAGTTACTTGCGCAACTCATCAGTCTAGATGTATGCGCATTTGTCTGTGTCAGACCATAATGTTTTAATAAATGTTCCCTCAAAAAGTTTGATTATTTCAAGAAATATTATTAGGAGGGTTTCGCATATTTGAATACTTCGATTGACCCAATTGTAAAAAACTCGTGGCCTCAGCGTGAGTCGAACCCACACAGCAGGTAAGGCTTTTGCGCAGCGAACGCTCCACCACTGAACTGCGAGGCTCAACGTGAGCAGTGAATTTAATCATACGTGGGTCGATTTGCTTGCCCACCTATACTGCACTTATGGAATCCACCAATACGGACGCAGTAAGCTGACCGTCCACGCAGGATTTCCCAGGCGATCATCCAGAATCCATCAGAATGACTTCTAGGCTCACTTAATTGTTTAGGAGGGTTTGGTAGATTTTAATAATTCAGTTGACACAACCGTGAAAAAACATAATCTGTGGGATTATCGTCACTATCAGTACTCATCGCTGAATACGGTTACGTCTACGTTTTCGCCATAAATTCTTCTGCCTGTTTCAGGTCCTCCTTACTTACTGCATACTCTCCCTTCCACCTACTCTGAATCGCGATGAGCTCGTGAACCGTACTAAAGACCTCCTCGACCCCCTACTGACCAAATACCTCACTAAGACGCCCAGTTCTCACGGCCTCTTTTTGCATCCCGACTTTCCTGCGATTTTGACTTCACATGCAACCTTCGGTGCGCTCATTCTCACCAAGGTCTATCACAGTGTGCTTCAGAGGCTGGAGGTGACTCAAGTAAGCACTTTTTGCTTATCGCCATCCCGAATTTTATTCTTTCTAGCTCCTGGCATGTGCATTAGGCGGGAAAACTAATCAAAGGTTACGAAACGTAATAAAAGGCTCCGTAATCAATAGATAGGAGATATAATCATCGTCTTCAAACTCGTCAGAGGAGTAAAATGTGCTCTTCAGTTGGCTGATTTTTTGAATTGGCAGAACAGACATCACCGAGGTCATCTATACAGACTGAGGAAACACCATGCCAAACTAGAAGTGCAAGCCAACTTCTTTTCCCACTAGGTCATTAACGACTGCAACAAACTACCTTCTTCAGTTGTCCTTGCTGAAAGCGCTGACG